GACCACGAGGAGCCTTCCCATGTCTTCACGGCACACCTGGCTATTTACAGTTGGACAAAGGACATGATTTAGGAAGTGGTAATTTAGTGGAAAAATATCTCTCATAATAAAATAGGAAACCTTGTTTCTTTCAGTTCTACCCCTCAAATAACACCCTCCCACCCCCCCCAAGATAAATTGATTTACCTTTCCCTATGAAGTGCAAACTCAGAGAGTTCTAGGTTTGGCTGTTCAGGCATCTCATATAAAAACAACAGCATATTCCCAGACTGATGCCACTGAAGGGACCCGCCAGCAGCTCAGCCGTTGCCCTCCTCTTGGTCCCAAGCACCCGGACTGACCCGCCTCGGACACCAACCGGCGGTGCCCATGTCCCCATCGCTCCATGCGCACGCACATTTAGGCTCATGTAATGCCCCACTCATACCAAAAGCTGAATGGCATCAGGAGGACAGGTCCAGGGAGCATGATTTACCCTGTGTATCCCTCTCCCTCACTGGAGCTCTGCAAACCCCAGCCCGAAGCTCTGCACGGGGTTAAGCTCTCCTTGTCCCACAAACCCCAGCCCTGGCTGATTCCCTGCCGGGGACAAGCCCAGCCAGCAAATGCTGCCGCAGAGGTGGGGATAAAAACTCCAGGTGGGACTGAACGGGGACCACTGAATCCCTGGCATCATTTATACAAGGTGATCGCCATGCCAGGTATGGACCAAAAATCACAGTGAGGCTTAGCAGTTGGCATTGGGAACTCCTGTATTCGAGTTTCAGAAGTGACAAGATCTCAAGGCCATTGAACTTCACGAACATCTCCCACCAACTAGGACAGCGTTAGCCCGAGCCCCTGCACAGCAATGATCTGAGGAGTGTTTGTGAAGCAGGACCCTGGCTGGGAAGCAGCGCCATCGACCCGACGTACAAAAGAGGGACCACAAGCTGCTGCCGAGTTGTTTTTCCTCTGGCTACTTCTGCCACCCACGCCGTGAGCAGACACTCCAATCCCCGATCTGGTGGTGTTACGGGAATGAAGTGCCCCAGCCCGTCCAGTGAAGCCTGTCCCTCCCACTCCTGACCTTTCCAGTGCCTAGTGGTACCATCCAGCCTTGGCTGAGCAGAGCATCAGAAACACACGTACAACATCTTCACAGTGCCAAAGTCTCAAACACGCAAATGAAAAACCTCATCCAGACCCTGAGCCATGTAGTGGCCATTTGACAGAAATAAAACATAGGATGTGGTACTTCTTTGCTTTGAGGAGCATCTCTCTTTTCCCTTTTCCAATGTGCCAACCGACAGGATCACGTACCACAGGGGAAGAGCTCATCCAGCAACTGGCCACAATGACACAACACCCCAAAACAGCACAAAAGACTTGTCACAGCTGCTGCCCAGAGCTGACCCCCCCCGGCTGCTCACTCCAGGGACGTGGGACCCTCACATCCCGCCTTGGCTGTAGCCCAGCACGGTGCCTGGCCCCTGAGAAAGGAGTATAAAGTGCTCGTGGACAACCCCGTGCTGCCATCCTGGCGTGTCCTCCGCCGTGCATCCTGCATTGCTGCTTCCCCAGACGGGGAGGATCTGCCACAGCAGCCCACCGATGCTAAAGGTCTTGCTGGAAAGACCCAAGTTTTATTTAAAAACTCTTAATGTGCCAGGCAGCACCGTCAAAATAAAACAAAAAAAGGAAATAATTCCTAGGCTCTGTTGTCAAAAAAGCAAGGATCCTGGAGGCTTTGCCCCTAAGCTGCCTTGTTAACCAGCTGTTCAGCAAAACAGCCACCCAGTGTCCATCTCCCTTGTATTGCACAGTCGGATGCCTCAGTATGACACAAGACCCGACCCCAAAGTGATGGTCTCGGCTCTGGGATCTCCAAGTTTGCACAAGAGCATGCTCCTGCCTGTAGAAATGCCCAGCACACTGCTGGTGGCACACACACAATAAATAACTACCCCGTGATTTCTCCTGACCCTTCACCAAAGCACAAAAATAGCTAGATCTACGCTTATTTTTTTTCTACTTCATTAAAATATTTGAACTATAGCCTCTGTAATCAGAAAGCATGGAGTGAAACTTGTAGTCCTAACCACTGAGGGGAAATGTAATTAAAGGATAGGGAGGGAGAAAGAGGGACGTGGTTCAACCGTTCAGAAGAGGAAATGTCAAAACGGTCCCTCTCAGCGAGGGAGATGCCTGCTCCGGCCAGCCTTAGTGCAGGTTTCCTGCACAATTTTCTAGGCAGATCTAGAGGCTTACAATGAAAAAAAAAAAAAATCAAATGCAATTCACTGCTGCTGGAAAGAACAAGCCTTTGGCTGGGACAAAGCTCTGGTTTCTTACCCGTGACGGCTGGGGTGTTGGTAACTCGCAAATGCAACGCAACGACTGCAAGCAGACCGACGTTGCCCAGGCTTGCAGCAGCGCGGCACCCCCATCAACAGTAAAATAACTCAGCATCTCTATGGAGAGCCTGTCTGTCAGCGTGTTCAGGACGCCTGGTACAACCAC